CGCACACACATAGGCACACACACGCACACACATAGGCACACACACGCGTGCACGCACATGCACGCACGCACACACACGCACAGTCTCAACCTCCAAACTTTGCTATCACTAGCCCACCCTCAAGAATGATAATAGCTATGTTGATGGACTAAATGGCCTACCTCTGTTTCCATGTCTTATGATCCTTCAAGAGAAACCACAGCTCTGTACAAAGATTAGCAAAAATTTGTGGAAATAAATAAGATAACACATTTAAACATGGTGACATATCAGCTGCACATTACATTGAAGCAACTGCAAATGACGGCAATTGACCAGTTAATACCTGAAGAATGCTGTGGCAAAAATAACAGCAGCTTGCCTAATCCTTTAATCACCTGTTTCATTGTTGTTTAAAAAAAAATTAGGGTGATATCTGCCCTCTCTAGGCCAGAGGGAGTGTTGTCAATGTGCTGAAAGGGAGGGATGCTGCATAAAATGCTCCAGTCACCTTGTTGTGCAATGTGATAATTGTCTCAGTGTTCATTTACAAAGCAGTTCTGGATTTAAATCACCAGATGCACAGGAGGAGAGCTCTCAGCATTGGAAATACTAAGCTAAGCATCACTGCAAAAATAACCTTGTACGATAATATTTGATCATCCATTACCTGCCATGGCAGGGAGCGAAGAGGGCAGACACTGACAGATGTTCTTGGGGACACCCTGGAGGTAAGTGAGCAGATGTGATATTACCCTCTGCCCTGAAACTGTATGATAAAGGATAAAGTGAAATGAATGAAAGTGTACATGACATTGGCTGATGGGAGTACAGTACAGTTACACAGCAGAGGAAGAGTGGTATCAAAGCCAGTGTACTTTCTCTTCCTGTATGAAATAGTGTTTACATGGCTATGAATTGACTAGTTAATATTTTAATGTAGTACAATGACAGTCTTACTGCTATTACTCATTGCAGTGGAGTTTGCTATTTTATTCTTTTCTCCTGAGTATCTCTTGTCCCTCTGTTTAATTTTTTAAGATTAACACATCATTCTTATGGGTTTAATATTTGTGTTTGTATCATTAATTTGTCATAAATAAAACACATCATCAAGTGAAATATCTGTGGAGATATATACTTACGTATGAAGAAGAATCATTGTGAAAGGCTCTGGGGTTTTTTTTGTACTACATAAAAGGGAGCTCACTGATAATGCTACGATTATCCATGACAATTTGAGCTTCTGGGCCAGATCTCACCAAGATTGTTAGGCCTTTTTCCAAATCTGACCTTGCTCATCGTTATTAACAATGCCCGGTGGCATTTTGTGGAAGGCAACAAATTATTGGACTCTCTGCGTAATATCTGTCCAATTAGAGACAGAGGGCCCAATGAGCAGGCTGAACCAGATGTGCAGCGTGTCCCATCAATGTGGCTGCAACTAGACCTTTTTAATCATTCATGGAACATGGGTGTCGCTGGCTGGGCCAGCATTTATTGCTCGTCCTTAGTTGTCCTTGAGAAAGTCGTGGTGAGCTGCCTTCTTGAACCGTTGTGGTCCACATGCTGCAGTTTGACCCACAATGCTGTCAGGGAAAAAGTTGCAGGATTGTAACCCAGTGACACTGATGTAACGTCGATATATTTCCAAGTCAGGATGATGAGTGGTTTGGAGAACTAAGAGTGGTGTGTTCTCCTGCTAGTCAGTCACCATCCTGATATTTAGACTGCCTCATCATGGAGCATGCAAGTTTCCAACAGCCAAAAGCAGCAGTGAGAGCCCAGAGGAACGTCTTATACCTGGAGGTTGTCAGGAGGAGACTAGACAGGCCACCTAAGTTCAAGTAGTCAGCATCTACTGTGTGGTGATCGGGAGATCTAAAAGCATACCCTATGACCTTCTGAGGTCGACACGATGCAGATTATAAGATTCAGGCTCATCTTGTCCTTGACTCCGGAATTCAGTTGTGTTGCCAGGAGGATGTGTGGTTAAAAGTGGTGCCAAAGTATTTTGACATTGGGTTGTGAGTGACTGGTCAACCATAGGACTGGGCATGAAATTCTTCAGTGGCCTTTGTGTTGTTCAGATGAAAAGCTAAAACAACAGTCTTGGCATTTTCTGAAGTAGGCTTGCAGACAGCATGGAATGAGTGTTTTCTCAATGTTCTGAAGTTCTTTAGTCTGGAAAGCTACAGTTTATGAGCACACATAGGATCCCTACAATGTAGAAGCAGGCTATTTGGCCCATCGGGTCCACACTGACCCTTTGGAGAATAGCCCACCCAGACCCAGCCCACCACCCTAGCCCTATAACTGTCCATTTCCCATGGCCAATCCACCTAACCTGCACACCTTTGGACTGTGGGAGGAAACCGGAGCACCTGGAGAAAATTCACACAGACACGGGGAGGATGTGTAAACCTCACACAGACAGTTGCCCAAGGCTAGAATCAAACCCAGGTCCCTGGCGCTGTGAGGCAGCAGTGCTGCCCACTGAACAACCGTGCTTCTGTGAAGAGATATGACTGTGGCAGGAAGGTCACTAAAGAAGAGCATTGTTGGTTATGAGTGGGTAGCTGATTTGATCTCCAAGGTGCATTTGGAAATGCGGGGTGCTGTTGATTTGTTGTAGGGTTTGAGGGGGAGGGTGTGTGGCACGGCTGCTGCAAGGGTCTATAAACAGGAGATGTTTCACTACCTTGTATTTTATTGAGAGCAGTGTGCAGGAGACAGCAACCGTGCAGGAAATTCTTGAAGGGACATGCTGCAGGGTGCCCCAGCACCAAGCCATGGTTCCACAACGAGATCTTCAAAATGGCCCAGCCAATGTGGTGAATATTTTGGCCTTACACAACAAGACTTTGATGTTGACATGATGCAGTCTGAGACCTTTACTTAAAAGAATACTGCCATCAAAGCAAACCCTGCAGTCCTTTGTGCCTGATGGTCTGAATCTCTGTTGACAATAATATCTGACATCCTGTCATACAGGATATTTGTCATCTCACTGTTGCTGCTGCGTGACATCCCACACAGGTCCCATGCTCACCTTTGGAACAAGCAGATGACAGTGAATTCAAGGCCACTGATAGGAGGCGGCTTACCCACCTCGAAGACCTAAGATGTTCATCTAGGAAGTTGAACCAAACAGCCACCAATTGCCTTGATAGGCACACATAGCTAGTCTCAATGCTATTTAGACATTGTGTTGAACGTGAAGTCAAAAGGCAAATTGATACTGCAGCTATTGTTTTGGTGCTCCTCCTGCAATTACTTACTGCAGAATACCCAGTCTCTGGCCTGCTTTTTGTAATCACAGTATTAATATAGAGTCATAGAAATGTATAGCACAGCAACAGACCCTTCGGTCCAACCTGTCCATGCCAACCAGACATGCCAATCTGACCAAGTATCATTTGCCAACAGTTGGCCCATATCGCTTTAAACCCTTCCTATTCATATACCTATCCAGATGCCTTTTAAATGTTGTAATTGTACCCAGCTCCACCACCTCCTCTGGTAGCTCATTCTATTCCATACATGCGCCAAATGCTGTGTGAAAAAATAGCGCCTTAGGTCCCTTTTTAATCCATCCCCTCTCACCTTAAACCCATGCCCCCTAGCTTTGGTCTCCCCAACCCCGGGAAAAGACCTTGGCTATTCACCCTATCCATGCCCCTCATAATTTTATACACCTGCATACAGTCACCCCGCAGCCTCCGACACTCCAGAGAAAATAGCCCCGGCCTACTCAGCCTCTACATACAACTCAAACCCTCCAACCCTGGCAACATCCTTGTAAATCTTGTCTGAACCCTTTCAAGTTTCACAACATCTTTCCTACAGCAGGGAGACCATAATTCAACACAGTATTCCAAAAATGGCCTAAGCAATGTCCTGTATAGCCGTATTACATCCCAACTCCTGTACTCAATGCACTGACCAATGAAGGAATGCGTACCAAATGCCTTCTTCACTAGCCTGTACACCTCCAATTCCACTTTCAAGGAACTATGAACCTGCACTCCAAGGTCTCTTTGTTCGGCAACACTCCCCAGGATCTTACCATTAAGTACATAAATCCTGCCCTGATTTGCCTTTCCGAAATACAGCACCACGCATTTATCTAAATTAAACTCTATCTGCCATCCCTCGGCCCATTGGCCCATCTGATCAAGGTCCCTGTTGTACTTTGAGGTCAGCCTTCTTCATTATTCACTATACCACCAATTTTGGTTTGTTTATGTAATCCGTCCTCTTAGCTAAACCTCTTTTTTTAAAGCTCTATTATTTGGACAAACCTGCACCATGCCCCTTCTAATGGCTGTGATGCCCCGCACCGAATGCTGTTAAAACGTGAAAACATGGGAGATAGCCTCCACCCCCAGTTAAAGCAGACACTGGTAATCAATGCATCACTTCCCATTTAATTGCCTACCAAGTAGCATCAAGCACTTTGTCTTTTAGATTGTAGTTTATAATTAACCTGGCTGGTGACATCTGAACCAAATTCCATAGCAGAATTTTAAAATGGGACTTCCTGCAAAAATACTAGTTCACAGGGCAAAGGTGGGAAAGCCAGCAACAAAATGGTACTGAAAAAGTATGGTGCTTTCTACTTGTCCTCCCTCCCTTGAAATGCTTTGTTAAATAACAATTCAGTTATAAACTTGATCCTGATCAATACGAGAGTTAAATTATTTGAGCCCAATTTCATTTGAATTTTTTTTGAAGTATCTCAACTTGACATGGCTAGTCGAGTGGAATTATAGCTGTGATCAGGATCTAACAGTGCCACAATTTTTAAATCATCCAGTGCTACCCTTCAACTATTCATCTGTTTTCTCTAGAATTTAAAAGGTTAAGGGACGATCTGACGGAAGTCTTCAAGATACTAACTGGGAAAGACAGAATAGACAAACTATTTAAAGTTTTGACAAAGATCTGTAGCTTAGATTGTGGATGAAGTTGTTGACTTGCTCGCCGAGCTGGCTCGTTTTTGTTCAGACGTTTCATCACTATGATAGGTGACATCATCAGTGGAGCCTCCGATGAAGCGATGTTATTCTACTCCGCTTGGAATTTATACTGTCCGGTCTGTTATGGTGAGTACTGTTATTTCCGGTTTTGATCTGTATGGATTTGTATATGGGGTCCAATTCTATATGTTTGTTGATTGAAGTATGGGTGGAGAACCATGCCTCTAGGAATTCCTGCGCATGTCTATGTTTGGCTTGGGCTACTACGGTTACCTTGTCCCAGTTAAATTGATGGCCTTCATTATCTGAATATACCGATATTAAGGAGAGCTCGTCGTGCTGTTTTGCTGCTAGCTGACGTTCGTGTATTCTGATGGCTAGTTTCCTTCCTATCTGTCCGTCTGATGTAATGTTTATGGCAGTTGTTGCATGGTATTTTGTAAACCACGTTGGTTCTGCATGTTGTGGGAATGGGGTCTTTAATCCTTGTGGATATTTGCCGTAGAGTAGCTGTGGGCTTGTGGGCTACCATGATTCCTAGTGGTCTTAGGAGTCTTGTTGTCAGTTCCGATATGTTCTTGATGTAGGGCAGCGTGGCCAGTGTATTAGGTTGTACTGTGTCCTCCTGTTGTTGTTTTGTAGGCATCTGTGGTTGAAGTTGTGGGGATATCCGTTTAAAGTGAGGATCTTGAATAAGTGATCTTCCTCTTTCCTGCATAGTTCTGGAGTGTTGCAGTGTGTCCTGGCCCAGTTAAATAGTGTCCTAATGCAGCTTGGTTTGTGGACGTTGGGGTGTTTGCTGTGGAAATTGAGGAATTGATCCATATGGGTTGCTTTTCTGTATACTGAGGTTTGGAACTCCCTGTTTGTCAATCGCTCCACTTTAACATCCAGAAACGGAAGTTAATTGTTGTTTTCTTCTTCCCTTGTGAATTTAATCCCCGTAAATACGCTGTTGATGAGGTGGTGGGTCTCTTCGAATGTGTCGTCTACATACCGAATCCACAGTTTAGGTTGAATGTGGGGGAGGGTGGTGTGTTCCAGTCTTTGCATGACTGCGATGAGCCCTGAGAAGGGTGACCCCATTGGTGTACCTTTGATCTGTTTGTATATCTGACCATTAGGGAGCATAGTCTGAGAATTAGAGCTAGACCATTTCGGAGAGATTTTGGAAGCACTTCCACACTTAAAAGGCGGTAGAAGTTTGGAACTCTCTTCCACAAATGGCAGTGAATGCTGGATCAGTTGTAAATTTTGAATTGGAGACAGATAATTTTTTGTTAAGCAAAGGTATTAAGGGATATGGGCTAAACGCAGGTATATGGAGTTAGGCCACAGATCAGCCATAATCTTATTGGATGGCAGAACAGGCTCGAGGGGCTGAATGGTCTATTCCTGCCCCTAGTTTACAAGTTGGGATTAGAGGCAGCTCCTATCTGCTTCCTGGCTATGCTGAATCTTTCACTTCAAAAACCATGAGATGAAGGTGTACGTTTTAAAAATAGAACTGCAACTTATAGAAAAACAGTACAGACCTGTCACCCTTGGTAGAAAATAGTTACTATTTATACTTTTGTACCAAACTTCTTAACCAAGATACAAAGCCAGCCTGTTTCATATCCTACTTGTAGATCTATTGTCACAACAGTAAACTCTTGAATTTATATAGCACCTTTCCTGATCTCAGGGCATCCCAACATTGCTTTACAATCGTTTGACTACTCTTGGGAGGTACAGTCACTGTTTTAATGCAGGAATTGAGGCAAGCAATTTGCACACAGCAAGCTCCCACAGACAAAGTGATAAACGATCATCTGCATTAGTCCTGCTGACTTAAGTATAAACCATTATCTCAGGAGACCCCTCAATAATGCTAAAGGATCTCTGCCACCTACCCAAGAGTGCAAGGGTTTTCTGTTTCATGTGGTGTATGAAAGACTGCGCCTCCAAGAGTGAAGCCCATGTTCAGTATTATGCAGGGAGTTGCCATGACATGTACCAGTACTTAGCAGTCAATTAAGCTCTTGAAATGTGGTCACTGTTGTAATTTAGGAAATGACTATCCATGAAAGACTGGATCTCCAGCCTGAACCTTCTCAATAGCCTAGATGCTGTGGGGCGTAAGTCACTGAGAGAGGGACTGGGGTGCTTCCTTGTGGGTAAGCAATGCTGGCCTCAATCTGAATTGTGCAGGCCTGCCTCAGCACACGACGCTGCTAGTTACTTAAAGAATATGAAATAATACTTAAAACTAAATTTAAGGAGTAGACATATCTTTAATCAGTAATGGGTTGAAAGTTTACAGGGATTGGCAACCTGATGGAAGTTTATAAAATAATGAGAGGTATAGATAGTGTTAATGGTAGGTGTCTTTTCCCATGGATGGGGGATATCAAGATTAGGGGGCACATTTTTAAGGTGAGAGGAGAGAGATTTAAAAAAGACGAGGGGAAATGTTTTACACAGAGCGTGGTTTGTGTGTGGAACGAACTTCCTGAGGAAGTGGTAGATGAAGGTACAATTACAATGCTCAAAAAACGTTTGGATAGCTACATGAATAGGAAAGGTTTGGGGGAATATGAGTCAAGAGCAGGCAGGTGGGACTAGTTTGGGAGTATGTTTGGTATGGTCTGTTTCCATGCTCTATGACTCTCTGAAAATGGAGTTGAGGCCAAGATGAGATCAGCCATGTTCATATCAAATGGCAGAGCAAGCTCAAGGGGCTGAATGGCCTACTGCTAGTTCTTAGGAATGGGAGCAAATAACATTCCAATGGGGGATAAAAGATCTACAAAATACTGAACAGAAAAAAAGTTCATTTACAGCAAATCAGCACCCATTGAGTATGACTGGTCCAGTAAAATTTCTGATCGGTAGTGATATCTCAGAATATTTACTAATGACTAAGGCATATACATGATGATGAGATACAGATCTATGATCTAAATCATGTTTGCCCACTCATGGTGCATGAGGAACAGGACTCTTATTAATATTTGTCTCATTCAGGGAGCCCGAGAGCAAATTTCACCGATCACCAGAAAAGGGGATGGGAACCAAGGCTAGACCAAGCAGCTGGATATCAGGAGAACTGCCTTGGGTTTCCCTCTGGTGAGATGCATTCCAAGTTGGCAAGTGGTAGAGGGTGAAGAGGATAAGGGTGGATTTGTACAATCCAATCTAACTCACCATCCACTGCCCCCAGGTTACTTACTCTACTCACTCACTCATCTCACTAGCCACAATTCCCTCCAAGCTAGTCCCATCCCTCATTACCCACATCTCCAGTCACCCTTAGGACTGAGTGGTTTTGTGCATTAATGTTGCCAAGGCCTGGAATGTGAAGGCAGCATATCCCTCCAGTTCCCAGTTAACCAATTGGAACATCCTGACCAAATGACCAATCAGTGTGCTGAAAGGCAAACCAATCAGGGCACGGTAACACTGCCCAATGCTAAAGGCACCCCCCACTCCCGACAAAGCCCTGATTCTCAATCCACTTGACCCCTAACCAACTGACTCTCACCCCACATCCCCACTTAATGGTTCAACACTCCCTTTGCTACACTCACACTCACCAACTCTCATTCCTATGCTGCTTATGCCAAAGGCTCTCTAAAACCCTCTCTGGCACTCTTTTGCAGACTTACCTCTGTAGCTCCTGGGTTCAGGATGAGTTAAACCAATCAGTCACCCGATCACTGCTCATCCAATCAAAGTCTCCTTTCTCTCCCATATTTGCTGCTGATAGGTTCACTAGTCAGCCTACAAGCAGCAAAGTTGGGAGACAAGTGGCCCCTGATTGGAGGAACAGCTCCTTGCAAAATCCTCCATTTACAGATATCTGTATTTGGAAGTGCAGCCTTATGGGCCAAACAGGACCCTTTAGTTGTGACCTGTGCACTGCCTTTTAAATGCATTTAATCTGAATCACAACAGTTTTCAGAGGGTAGACAGTTACTTCAAAGGCAGAAATAAAGCATTAAAAAACACAATAATACTTGGGACTGAATGTACTGGAACTTGATTTTCATAGACAAAAGATAGGTCATTCCAGTATATTTTATTCTCCAGTTTTACAGGTTTTCTTTCTGGAATGCCTGTTCCTAGTAGATTTTGAAAGACAAATTGATAAATGGAGGTCAACATGGCCCATGAGTAGAATAGAGTATGGGTACTCAGTAATTAGCGAGTCACCTCCTAATCTGTCAAAGTCTATTCACCACTGTAAGGTTTCAGTCAGGAACATGTTCAAAAACATACCTACAATGGTGCAAACACAACAAAACTCAAGAAGCATCATAGTGTTTGAGACAAAACAGTTTGTTTGACAACTGTGTTGAGAAATGCACGCGTATATTGTATGCTGTGACTTGCCTTAATCATGCAATTCTGATGTTGTTCCTGTCAGTTTAAGCAGCAGGCAACAAACCCACTACATGAGACAATTAGTTTCCCTGCCATTGAGCTTAATAAATACACAAGCCATGAACCGGAGCTGCAGCATATACCAGCTACAATATGCAGCAGTTCAATGCACAAGCACTGCCTTCATAGTGTCTTCATCCATCACCAAGGACAAGTTCATGGTGCCATCTCTTAAGTCACATGACATTGTTGGATTACTGTCAATGACCTTTAGTGTACCAACACACTATTCCAACAAGTGTGCATATCTTCCAAGTTTTAGTGAGATTTAGGAGTGTGGAAAATGTTGTTTTAATGTTCAGAACCATTTTATCATCTGTTTAAGAGAGCTCTGAGGTCTCAAACACTTTGTGAATCGAAACTGTACACGTACTGACCCAATGAAAGGTATCCTATTCATCCTTCGCAATATTTATTCTGCTATACTCAACAGTGATTACCTATCGATTTCCTCTATTTTTCAATGTTCTCTCTTTTCCTCTGAAGACAGTGATTACTTCTGGGAGATGGCATCAATACAGACATCAACCAGCCTGTCAGTGCTTTCCCCAAGCAGCTATCTTTACATTTCCCACACAGTAGTTCTGGATCAAATGACAATTGGGGAACTTCCTTAGAGTACAGTATCATCAAACTTCATGCTCAGTTCTTCCGGATAATGCTACCATTTTACGTTTTGTGTCGAGGTTTCTTCAGAGAACATGAAACATTTCCCTAATTCAGGATTTGCTTTCTGAGGTAAATTCACATTTAGTGAGGGTTGGTAAAGTGTCCCCATACCCCAACCTCCACACCCCCCCGGCCCCCAGGTTCATGAGAACAGGTACAGGAATAAAAGCTGTTACCTCTCCAACGTGTTCCCCTGCACACACACACTGGTGATGTTAAATGTATTAATATTCAGATATCAGCTGTACTGAGTTCACTTGCCTTGTTATGGAAGTTTGTCAGAGTGGATTTTGCTGAGAAGTACCAGTGCTGACTTCCAAAGATAGTCTTTTTAATCTTGCTGTCTGGAGATAGTGTAGGAACAGGGTCACATTTCTGATATGTTCTCACTTGAGGGACAGATGAGCAATTTTCAGAGAGATAATTTGGCACAAAACTGTCCCCAAATGTTAAAAAACAGACAATTTGATATTTTAATAAAATGAGTTATTAATATAAATACCATTAAAACCTCCTAAGCAATAGAGCTACTTGTAAAACTTCTCTTGCCTTTTCACTTCAAAATCAGAGATAGACAGAGATGGATTAGGCCCCGGGTCTGAGCATCAGGGAAGTGGGTGGGAACCGAGCTAAAGTTTTGGGATGAACTAACACTGAACTTGAGCTTAACTCTGGAAGAGGACGCTACAAGGTGTGTGTGTGCATGTACCCTTTTTAATATCCTCCTTACTTCCCAGCTATTTTGTGTCATCAGCAAATTAAGCAACCATACCTTTGATCCCTTCATCCAAGTCTATATCTTATAAGTTGTGGCCTCAAGCACTAATCCCTATGGCATATCATTTGCTGATCAACCAGAAAATAACCCATTTAGGCCTACTCTTTGCTTCCTATTAGCTAGCAAATCTTCTGTCCATATCAATATGTTATTTTCTGCTATAAGATTTGATATGGCACCTCATCAATTACCTTTGGAAAATCAAAGTCCAGTACATCCAGCAGTTGTCCTTTTTTCACAGCATATGTTACTCCCTCAAAGAACTCCAATAAATTAGTTTAACAAAATTCCCCTTTGAAAACAAAACAACAAAACCCCAGGGAGATAAGTTCAGTGTGGAAGCAATTGTTTAAACTGTGGTGTCCTTGATCCAGAAAAAAACAAACATCTATGTTTTTTACCAACTTTATTTTGCTGCAAAAATCAGGTTTCAGAGATCTATTCACTTTGATGGGCATGCCAACCAAAAAAAAAGCAAGGATTTAAAGGGGCACTGGTGCTCTCAGAAATCAGACTCAGATCCTTAGCAACCATTGCTGGAGCTTGCAACCACTAAATCTCATCTCTTGGCCCCAGTGTGGATCATGAGTTGCAGTTTGGGACATAGTCCTATGCTGATTAGTTAGATTTAGACTGTATTCGTACAGATTAGCTATTCCAAGACACTGGAACTCCAAACTGACTTACTTCTGATGGTCCAGCTGAATGATACAAAACCCTGAAAGTGTATTTCAACTTTAAACAGAGGCAAGAGTAGAAATATCATGAATGTTGTTTGAATGCATTGTGTAAAATATCTCAAGGTAGTATCTAAGAAAAGAAATAAATGCCCTTTTTATTAATTCTCTTTCATTCCTCATGTACAATTATTTTTTTCAATGCTGGGAAAGAAACGGTTGCCAGAGAAACTGGGGAACACAAATGTGCAGCCAGAGGCCTGATTTGGGTTATTACAAAGATGGTTTAATTCATTTTTGCTTTTTGTGGACTTGAACAATAAAATGAAATGTAGACTTCAAGACGAAACAGGATCAATTAAATCTTAAGTTGTAATTTAATGTTCATTCTCCCCCAGGGTACCCTTTCAGTACAGTTTATTGAGTTTAATCAGTATACATTGTAATAAGTTCAATAAAATGGGACACATAAGTGAAACTCAAATTGTGTGCTGTGCAAAATGCTTTAATGGGACTGAATGCTGGGCAGAGCTTAGGACTGCTAGTAGACTACATAGTTTTACATTCCTGTACAAATTTGAACTTCACTCTCATTATCTACCAAAATGTTTTTACATCATAGTGCATGTATACATCTTGCAGTGTGCTTCAGTCATCTTCTGTACTTTTAGATGCTTCAAGATGATTGAAATGTTTTGTCTGGAAGTACATATATTGGAGGCAAGTCAGATTAAAATATTCTGAATGCTGCCAGAAAATTACACGTTTAGTAAGCTTATTCTGTTCCGTTCCAGTAGCACCATCTAACTCTTATGTACCATGAGGCTTCTGCTAACAAGCAAAGAAAAGCTTGCACTGACACAGTGTTTTTCTTGGCCTTGAAATGATCCACAGCACTTTACAGTCAATGAAACAGATTTGAAGTGAATTCACTGTGATAATTTAGGAAATCTGGCAGCAAATTTATATAAAAGCTCTCACAAACAGCAATGTGATCATGGTTGTATATGACATTGGCTCTGAAATAGTTATTGTTGAAGGTTGCATTAAGGTCCCCCTAACCTGATGATGTGACACGGTTTAAGTGTAGAAAGAAGGCGAACAGCTCTAGATCCCGGTGAGGGTCAGACGTGCCATCCTTAGCTCCTGTTAATCCCAGTAATTTTGTCTAACTAGCCAAAGTAACTCATACCTATTGCTATTTTTGCAGAAAACTACAACTTTTTCTTAAGATAAGTTCCTCTTCCTGTTGACGCTCACCCGTGAGTCATTCTCTGCCATTTGTTAACCAAACATCATCTTAGACTAAGTATAGAAAGAAGGAATGGTGACAACACTGTGCCCCAACTACAAGCTGCCAGTGGTTGGTTCTACAACTATACAATAATAACATCTGAATAATTTGTTTTAGTGATTCGTTTACGGGATAATATTGGTCAGGACACTTCGGAGAGTCCCCCAGCTCTTTGAAGTAATGCTATGGCACCTTTTAAGTCCACCTCAGACAACAGACAGCACATATGAAAGACCGTGCCTCTGATAGTGCAGCTTCCCTCCTTACTGCAGTCATGTGTGAAATTAGAATTTGTGTGCCAGTTTCTGGTGAATCCACCACCTTTTGACTGAAAGACCAGCATGCCACCCTTTGAGAAACAGATAGCTGCCCTAATGGACATAGTGGTGTCATCTGTAAACCCAAAGATACCCACTTGCTTTTGGCACTTTTGGAACCTTTTAACAGAGAAGGAAGTGAATAAGATAAAAACTATGTTATCGAATAAAGACTGACTGATGCAACACATGTTAGTGAAGGTACTTGGAAGGTCCTGTCTCATAAAATATTAATGCTATGCTAACTTCCATAGCCAGGAACCGGAGTGATACCATGAGAGAGGTCAGGCTTGAAAACACAATTCCATGACAGCAGGAAGCACAGATGCTGAAGATATCTTTAACATTCCCTAAGAAGATATGCCTAGGGCTGACGATTTGGATCCTGAAATAAGGTTTGGTGGTTGCCAATTGCTGGTAGTATATAAAGTGCCTTATACAATGTGCCTTCAGTTTCTCTGTTTGTTTCAGTGTAAATAGTCCTAGATGGTTCATTTCCTCCCTTTGTGGCAAATTGAAAACATGGGTAAAACAGTTAAAGTAGAAGCCTGGATTCCCACTTTGTGCAGAGG